CGGGGAACGAATCTTTCGATTCGGTACTCGGTAAAAAGAATAATTTGTACACAACAATACCGACTAAAAATAAATAAATTAAAAAAAACTATTTATTTTGGGCTCAAACAATTCAACCAAATATTAGAACCAAAATCAATATAAAAGGTCTCGTATATAACAAAAGATCAACTAAATAATTAGATAATAAATATATATTGTCATATTCATTCTTCCGAGTCAAAACTATATCGTCACTATTTCTCTCTCATCCTTTATGGTTGCGACTTAGGACTGTCTCACTTTTTCTATTATCATTTCCTTTTTTTGGTTCTTTTACAATATAACTTCACAGCATTCGTCTATTTTTTACCCATAAATGAAACTAAATTCCAGTGTCATGTTCAAGAACTAATCGTCTAATTTTTATTTTATATACAAATTGTGTCAATATATGTCCATCCAAAAGTTGAAAAATAAAAGTACAAATGTCTATATGTATAAAATTATTACTTTTACTATAAAATTTCATGATGATTTTTTACTATAAATAATAGTAATACAAATTTTATAATTACTATTTCAATTAAATACAAACCTTGTTATATATATAATATAACTTGTTAAATACAAATCCAAATATATATATATATATATATATATATATTATAACTTAGAGAGTTTTATACTAATGTATTGGAACTTGTATAAATTGTGATAATCAATAGTTTTTTCTAATAAAAAAGTATTTTATCATATTTTTCTGGAAGGAATTAATAAATTTGATGAGTTAAATCACATGTTTATAAAAGTCGGTCACAATTTAACAATTACTTATCATTAATCAATATTTTTTTGAAGATATAAATAATGTAAATGCTAGAGTAATTACTTTGAATAATTAATTCTTTCTTCAACAGAAGCATTAACAATTTTTAGGAATGAAAAAATTCATAAATATACTGCTTGCTTTCATATATATCGCAGTAAAATTTTAATTGTTATTTCTTTCTCCAAATATAACATCCCATGTAACCCTCAAATTAAATAAATTGTAAAAATTCTGAAAATCAAATTCAATATTTTCAATAATATTGAATGTTATTTATGAAGAAATGTGAAACACGACGATGATTTCTTATAAAGATAAATGTAAAGTTCAATTATTGTAAAATAATTTGGTTATTATAGTGACACTAATAAATAACTAATGAGTTATAAAATATGTGTACATATTTGTTCAATTTACTCATTATCTTCATGGTCTATATTAATTTTTATATATTATTTTTTCCAACTGATATCTTCTATATATTTATATTGGTTCGAGTTCAAATAAAAAACTGAAAGGTCAAGAACATAAATATGGTCATTTGATTAGAAGTAAACAATTTGTGTCATTAATCACTTTATTAATTTGTATAACTAACTAGTACGAATCCCGTGCGATGCACGGGTAAGAGATATTCATTTAATATTTATAAAATTAAAATGCTCATTAAGTAATATTTATAAATTAAAAATATGGAATCAATATGTAATACAATTCACCTATATTAATTTATTTAAAATGTTACATGAAATATAAATCATGCATAATTACATAAAACATGTCTATTTAAAATTTAGACAACTTGTACGATGATTATTCAGAAATTCTATTTGACTACACTTGATTCCATAAAATAAATATTTTTGTAAAAAATTTATCATCTATTAAAATATATAGGTGAATAATAAGTATAAAGAGAAAATTGTAAATTTTGCCCCGTTGGTTTGGGACAGTAACAATTTTAGTCCTTGAGGCGCAATTTTAGACGGTAACTTTTTTCTGTTGCAAATGTAGTCCTACGCCGTAAAAAAAT